AACTGTGACTGTTGAGCAAACCTGTTTTGTTCTATCTTTTCAAAAACTATTATGTGAGCTGCTCTGGCACTGAAAGGTAAATTTTATTTCCCCCCCCCCCAAGTCTTTAGTCCTTTTGGGTACTGTGGTGCCAAGCTGTTTAGGACTTTACATGTCAGAACCAGCACTTTCATTCCTATTTAGACATGCACAGGAAACCAATTTAGTTCTTAAAATACTGGAATAATATGCTTTCTCCGGCCAACCCCAGACAATTCTGGTCCAAAGTTTCCAGACTTTTTAAAGTGCAACCTCATGTAGATTCAGAGGTCATGCCTCAATGTTATCAAGGCATGAATGTCTACGGCCATATCAGACTTCCCAGTTACTGGGCACAGCTGGCATATCAACCAAAGCTGGTTAAAAGCACCCTGTCAAGATCCAAATAAGTGACATATCAAGGATTTTAACTTTAAATCTTGCCTTTTAAGAGTAAGTGCAATCCAATGGAAGCTGTTCCCTAAACCAACATGAAATAATCAGCAGTCTTCTGCAGATTTACACACTCATGTCGTCCCTAGGGCCTTTTTGTAACCTACAGAGTCCTCAAAGGGTCAAAAATATTTTTCTTTTGCAAAAAAATGAATAAAATAAAATAAAACAAAAAACAACAAAATGTTCTACCTCAAATTAAAAAAAAATGCCCCAAATGCCCTCTAAGTGGCAGAGGCCACATTTCCACCACATCTTGAATTTCCATGGACCCTCACTCTCCTGGGTGAAAACAATTTTTTTTCTTCCCAAAAAAAGGGGTTGGGTTTTTTTGGCCTCAAAATCAGTTCTAGGGGGCCAGGAAGGGACAAAAACATGGTGAGGGTGCACCCATGTCCCTTAAAGGATGTGAGTGGCATTTAAGGGGCATATGTTTTTATTTATGCATTTATTTGTGCAGGAGCAGGTACAAATGGGGTGTATGGCCCTCCAAGGATTCCTGCCGACCCCTAGCCTTCCACACTTGCCCCACTCCTGCTCCAAACTTTTCTTACACCCAAATTTTTCCCTGCTTTCCCACTCTGCTCTGATAAAGTTTTCTGTGACATCTGACTTGGCTAGAGTTGTAAAATGACTTCAGAGATATATATGGCTTGCAAACGATTCCTGATTTATAGTAATCACAAGTTAACTCATCTGGGTAACTTTATTAGTGCAAATTAGGAACCTTCAACCAAAAAAGGAGGAGAATTTGAACGTGAGGCCTTCTTACCCCAAACCATGGTTTGGCAAACATATGAATTAAGGCTACAGCAAGACATGTAGTGTGCAATGTGAGATAAATCAGAGAGCTTTACTCGTACTTAATCAAATTTATCTTGCAACACTGATGCAAGCAGTGGCATTCTATCATGCCTATACTATAAATCGATGCAACTGTCAACATTTCTTGACAATGAAATATTGTTCTTTTAAGGGAACCCCCAACACCCACCTTAAACCACCATTCTTTGGGATCTTTGGGAAAGTTTTAATATTTGCAGTAAACTTCCAATTTATGTGGGTGCTCCTAAACTCAGGATATACACTCTACACATGGTACACTAATATGTTGTGTCCCAACTTTGAAACCATGGTTTGAATTGGCTCTCAGATCAAGGATTGAGAGAGCTAGAAACAAAAGTCCAACACTAATCCTTTGCATTCTGGTAAGCTTCTGGTTATTTTAGGTCTTTCTGCTTGTGCATACTGCTTTTTACCAACTAACCAGAATTGTCAGGCATTCCTGCAGAATGTTTTGGGCAAATGCCGCTTAAGTCTAATAGTACGTGTTGCTTTAAAGCAGGGGTAGACAACCTTTTTGAGCTGGGGGCCGGTCCTGCGAAGTCCCTCCCACCGCTGGGCTGAGGGGGGGAATGGTGGCGCGTGCGCACACATCCACCCCGCACACTGCCGCGGCTGCCGCCTCTGCACAGCTGCCTCCGCGCATGTCGCGGCCGCCATTTTGATTTCCAAAATGGCGGTTGTGGTGCACGTGGCTGCATGGCGGCAAAAATGCACAGCGGCGGTGGTAGCAGCAGCGGCAACCTTCCGCCTGGGCCGGTAAGTTCGGGAACCTGGGCCTTAACCGGCCTGCAGGCCATAAGTTGCCAGTCCCTGCTTTAAAGTCTCCTCTAAGTACTGACATTTCAAAATCTCTAACAATCCACTTGTTTTACTTATGAAGTGCATGCATTACAAAGGCATACAAAAGACACAGGCACTTTAGTATCTCTATTTCAGCAAAAGGTTATTATTATTTTTTTTTTTTTTTTGCAAAACCTCCAACACTCACTCAGAAGGTTGTAGTTTATTTTCTCAAGGATTGCATACTTTGTTATTTATACCAGGCTGAGCTCATGCTCTATGACTAATCAGAGTTCAAGCCAAACATAAAATGTAACTGGGTTTTGTAATAAAAGTACACCAACATTGTGCTTATGATTCTTTGTCCTAGACTACTTGAAAACTCAAGTACAATGTTGGCTTACCAGAGGTAGATGCCACCTTCTTGATTTTGGTTATCTTTTCATCTATCACACAATCCATTTTCAAAGGCCCTCAAATTCTTCATAACTTCCTTGAAACAATTTTAGTTGACGCTTAATGGCCCCCAAAAGACAAAAGGCAACCTAGACCAGACTTTAGTATGAACACGAAGTCCTCCATATCCAAATATCTCAAATTGATAGTGCAATATCTTGCAGCAGTGGTTCTTAACCTTTTCTTTGCTACAGACCCCCTTTAAATATCTTTTGGTGCTGCTGAACACCAACACTTAACTCAAGATTTAGAACCCTAAAGTGCATCAAACACTGTATTTATTTAGATATTTAAAGCTGCTCATCAAGGGTCTTCAAATTTAGAAGGAAGGGAGAAATAATTAAATGCATACACTCTTATTATATTTTTATTGGAATGATTCCATACATGATGATGATGATAATGATAATACCTGAACACCAAACCATAGCCTGATACTGTATTACTTGTTAATTTTAATTAATTAATTAATTGAGAAGTCTGGTGCTGCAGTTCACTTACAAGTCTTGTTATATCAGGCTTAATACTGAAACTGGTATTCTGAGCTCTGACTACGTTTTTCAAACAGTTCCTATATTTATTTTTAAAGATAAACAAGAATGATTTTTCACACAAGTATGTTGGTACAAAAGGCAACAATACTTTCATAACCCTCTTCAATAGTTCCATAAAATCCGCTTGTAAGTGAGCCCAGAAATTTGGAAGGGATTGCAATTTAACTGCAATTTAAGAGCACCACCCGTGGCTATTTCTATAAGCTTGTCTTCCTTTGCTGCTGTGAGCCTCTCAGGTTCATACACATTAACTAAAAATGGATCTCTAATCTCTAATCCAGTTTTTGCTCACAGCAGGAACAGGAAAAGATTCAGGGGAAGTATATTGCAAATCTTTCAAATGATTCCAGTTTAGCAGCCATGGTTTCGGAATTATGGAATCTGCAATTCAGGGAGGAGTATTTAACATTCTCTGACAGAAAGCATTAGTACCTCACCAATCTACTAATCCCAGGATTCCAAAGGATGCAGCCATGACAAGACAAGTGGACTCATAGTACTACAACTGTGTACTAAAAGAGCTCTCCATCAACTTAGCTGAGAGACCAAATGCCATTTGCTTCCCTCCCAGAAACATTTCCATTCCA